TGCCACGTGATGGGCACAGCCTACCGGAAAACAAACTGAAACATCTGTGGGCCAGCAGCTGTCGGAGCCCGGCAGGTTGGGCTAGGCTGCTGCTTGGCATAATGCTCGCAGCTGCAGCCCAGCTCCTTTCCAGTCGGAGATAGGTGATGCTCTGCTTTATGGGGATTGCTCAGGAGAAGAGAGCACTGCGGCTTGTAAAAATACCGTTTGCACAGCACTATCTTTTTGTAACTATAGCTACTGTTCCTAAAGTGGATTATTTAAAGACAGCCTTTGTAACTGTTTTTATTTGAACAGGGGTTGCCATGCCAGCGGTGGGGACTCGGTAGCCACAGGGGTGCCTAGGGCTGGCCTCGCTTTCCCCTTCAGCGTGGATTCATGGCGTTTTCAAAAGGTGTCCTTGTTTCTACTGTTTCTTACAGACCTGGAATTAGAAATGGAAAACAGTTACTTAAGCTGTTGGATATTCTGTGCTGGGTCTCTGCGAACCAAGTGAGGACAGGTTTTACAGACATGTATAGATATGTATATACATATGTATATGTACACATTGTCAGGTATTTCACTTAGGTTTTTAAAATAAGGCAAAGTATTTTTTATACTTTCTGTTCTTTGTGGAAAGCTATGGATGACATGAGTGCTTTGGGAAATCCAGTAAAATATTTTCCTTGAAGTTTCAGGTTTTTTCTCTCTATCTTGTATTTTTCATACTCCCAGCTTTTCACGGCGCTTGCTTTTTGCTGCTCGTTTTCCGTGATTGCGGTAAGACAAAAAGATTGATCCTGTCGCGTACAGGCTGGCACTTCTAAGAACAATCTTTGTTAATGTAGTGGAACAAATGGTGGGAATGTGATAAAAGCCTGAGCAATAAACGCCAGCAGGAAGCTCCCTGGCTCATGCCAGTTGGGCTTAGTGCTCTGTCATTAAGGGTTGCTTAGTAGGTAATGGGAAACAGCCACAGAAACTGGCTGTAGTGCCCATTTTATTGGAACAGCAAACTCAGCATTGGTGTTTGGCCCTAATACACAAACCAAAAATTACCTTGTGAACTCCTAATCAAAAGCCTAGTTCTAAAATAACCCAAATGACTTTATTTGGGAACCCTGTAGAAATGCTGCTGGGGCTGGCGGTAGGTGTGATTGCTTACTGTAAATATGCTGAAAGTCATCTCAAAAGGAGAAAATAGGACATTTCTCAAATTTTAAGTCTTTTAATGTTTGTATCTTACAAAAAAAAAAAAGGAAAATTAACAAGCCAGTCATGACATGGGACTGCGCCTGCCCCTCGGCTGCAGCTACAGTTAGCTGAGAAGGTGTTAGTATGTCAGTATGTACCATATCCTCACATGTGTGGAGTGTGGACATAAATCTGCTTTTCCTTGAGATCCATGGCACAGCTCTCACTGCCTGTACTTGAATAGCCATTCTAGATCAGGCACACTTTAAAAAATGGATTTACTAGTTTGGTATTTACCTGTGCAGGGACATGTGTGCTTGTTCTCCCATCCCCTCCCACCCCAGCTGCTTCCCTTCCCGTTACCCCCTGCCAGGCTGCTGGGTTTGGGTGGTGGGTAATGCTCCTTGCTCCTCATCTCGCAGCACCCCAGCCAGAGTGCTTGCACCTGAGCTGCTGCAGGCAGGCTGGCGAGCCGGGTACCCCAGAAGGGAGCGTGCAGCTCTCTCTGTGCGCCTCCATTGCCACCGTCTCATCAGAACGGGCCTTTTCACCGCCTAAGTTGAGGGAGAACAGCTCAACTAGCTGCTGCTGGGAAGGTGGCACCCAGCACAGCCCCGCTCCCCGGTTCTCATCCCTGGCTCATGCTGATACGCTATTTCATGGTGTGCAAAAAGAAGAAGCTTTTGCTCCCAGCCAGAGATACCCCACAGGGTGTTTTTTCCTTGAGAGTGATCTCCAGTCTCTCTGTGCATCCCTTCCCCGGAGTGGTGTGAGTCTGCAGCACAGGGCAGCTTTGCACAGCAGAGGCAGGGGAAGGGGTGTCTTCTCCAGCTGAGAAGGGATGTCGGAGCTCTCAGATGTGGTATTTGTGCTGTAACCTGGATTAATCCATCCTTCCAATGCATATAACGGGGCAGCAAATGTTGCTGAGATTTCAAGAGCACGGGCCATGGGCTCACCAGGGGGTGCTTGCCTGGAGAGAACTGCCATGATGCCAAACATGCGTCTGAAATGCTTGTCTGAGGGAAGGTCCCATTCTGCTTGAGCTGGGAACCTCTAGGGCTGGTTCAGTCACTGCAGACAGCTCCCAGCCATTAGCATGAGTAAAGAAAAACCAAAGATGTTTTATTGCTTGTCAGATTTTCCCCCCAAGCTCTTCTGGCACAGGGGATGAACATTCACTAGGAAGCTTCTTCAAGCTCTAATTAGCTGTATGTGAGTAATAAGGGCTCTTATGGTAATTAATAATGTAGTTGAGCGTTTAAGGGCTCTCGGGGCCTTGTCAGGGTGGTCACATCTCCCTCTTTCGGCTGCTACATCACCCCAGGGCCTGGAAACAGTGATTTTTAGTGCTTAGTGGTCTGTGCTGCTGTTTAGCTGTGTGGGCTGGGTGCGTTGCTGTGGATGGGTTATGAATGCGACTGGAAATGTAGGATAGCCCTGAGGAATTGTGTCCCAGGGAGACAGTTACGGGTGAACGTGGGCTTTTTGCATATACCACAGAAATTTGGATGGAGGGAAGGAAAGGATTTTCTTTTAAAGATAAAACCGAGTCAGCAATAGGTTATTAATGGGAAATTGTGAAGCAAGAGCCCGCCCAAGCACGAGGGTCATGACCGAAGTCACTGTGTGGGCAGCGGCATTCCCTCCTCCCCACAACCCTCCAAGCAAACACAGTTTGTCAGCAGAAATCTCCCTGTGACAGGCCCCATCACAGGCAAAGGATAACTGACGCGAGATGCTGTTTGTTGTGGTTGTGCTGATCCACGTTTCACAAAAGCCAGTAAAACACAGTTCTGGATCCCGCTTCCTCGCAGTTTCATGACAAACGGTGGAGCAAAAGTATGCTCCAAATACTGGGTCCAGTCCTGTTCCATGTCTTCATTAACGATACAGTTGTGGGGTCTCCCTCCTTGGAGATACTCAAAAGCCATCCAGACGTGGTCCTGGGCAACCAGTTCTAGGTGACCCTGCTCAAGCAGGGGCTTGGGCCAGATGACCACCAGAGCTCCCTTCCAACCTCAGCTGTTCCCTGACTCTGTTTTGGGGAATTGCCTTGCCCTCAGCTCCCCCACCTGCCGCTTTACTGACACCATGATCTTGCATCCTAACAGAGGAAGGAAGAAACTGCTGTCCCTGGGACTCTGTGTCTTTGTTCCAGCAGGGTGGCTTTGATAAACCTGTGCCTTCTGTCCCAGAATTGTTTAGCCACAGCCAAAAGAATTTACTAACCCTTTCCTGAGGCCAGGCTATTATTTTCTTTTCCAGCAGCGTTGGTTTTGTCTACCCAATGCGTTACTTAACTACCTCAGAGCTTATTACCTGCAGGATATAGGCAATAACCTTAACAGTGCCACCAGCAGCATGTCTCAGATGCTGTACATTTGAGTCTAGCACCTGTAAGCTTTGGGCTGTGTCTCTACCCCATCTTCCTGATCCTCCTGACAAGTTGCACCCGAGAGCAGACTGACCCCGAGGCATTAGGGTGAGGGTGTGGGTTTAAACGAGCACATCAGGTAGTGGAGGTCCTTCAGGGATGCCAGCAGGAGGAGTAAGCCCTGTTGCGTCAACAGGCAAGAAATTCCCAGGGTAACTCAAGAGCAGAAGTTATCCAATAGGTCTCTGGGGATGGAAAGGGGTAACTGAAACTCTGCATTTATTTATAAATGGGTCGAGTAAATTTGGTGTTGGGGCTGTAAAATACACAAACCTCAAGGAATGCACATACAAACAGAAGCAGGAGATCTGGCTAGCTGCACTCGCAATGGGGGAACCACTGCAAAACTGCCCCTATTTTGGAAAGCCCATCCTGCCCTGATGTCATCACACACTTCCTTACCCCTGTGGATCACTGTGCGCTCCTCTGCTGCTGGAGCTGCGATTTTCCCCTCCCGGGTCACTTGCTATGCTCTAGTGCCCAGCTGGCACCTTGCAGCACATCCAGCATCGTGACCTCCTCCCCCATCCTCTTCTCCCAGAGCATTTTGCATGGGGATGTCGTTCCTCATTCACAGTCGCACGTCACTGCCCTCCCGGAACCCTCCTGCCATTCCTGTCCCAGGACCTCCCTCCTCCTCACAGCCGCTCCCTCCCCACTGCCACCTCTGCCAGCCCTTAACACAAAATGCTTTGCCACATTCCCACTGAGCCCTGGTCACAGGGAAAAGAAACCTCCGTGGGTTTACGCCCCTTTGGCAGTGGTGCCGCAGACCTCGGGGCTCAGCTCCTCACGGCTTGTTACACCCCGGAGAGACGGGGTCTGCATGGGGGGCTCCCGCCAAACAGCACAGCGAGGAGTGGTGTTCGTGCTGGCTACAACAAACACTGGGTTTACATCTCCCAGGCATGGTCAACTATCCCCATGGGTGCTTGAAATGCTGGAATTCGCCAGCTGTTTTCTTTGGACACTGGTGTGTTGTATCTGGACAGAAACCGAGGCACGCTGTTGGACTGGGCACATCCACCGGTCTGCTGCGCCAAGAAAACTTTGCCCGCTGCCAGAACCTCTGCCTGCTTTATAAACAGGCTGTTGGCCCTGGTCTCTGGCCCTCCGGAGAAGAGAAGCAGCTTGCCCAGGGTCACGGGAAGAGCTGGGGCAGGGCAGTTTCCCAGGCTCCAACCTGATGGCTTCATCTCCATCCCTCCCCTCCAGGTGGCTTTCAGCGGGGGAATAAAACACACACCGTAACATTCCAGCACCTGAGGCAAGTGATAGACCTCACCCAAGGAGCTGGCTTACATGCCTGCTAGGAAATACTCAGAATAACGATGCTGTACAGGGTACCCATCGGGTGCTTAGCGCATGGCGACTGCACACAGCAGACTCAGCTGCGGAGCAGTTCCTGAGAGCAGCCCGTGGCTTTGAACCCTTCCGGGATGTCGCTGTCCAATTTGGAAATGATTTTGTAAATGGGTTTCTTCCAGGAGGGATCGGCGTCCTTGCCCGCCCTGACAGCGCTGAAGAATTCCCGCAGCGTCAGGCTGGCCACCTCCAGGAACCGACCTGGCACCTGCGATGAGACAGGGATCAGCCCATGAGGCCACCGGATCCCCAGCTCCCCCTGTCGCCCTGCCAGCCCACCCCCTTGCCTCCCCTCCTCACCTCAAAGTCATTCCCCTTGTTGTAGTGTGTGTTCAGGGCACGGAAAAGCTCCGAGTCCCGGGAGACCCGGAGGGTGCCGGCATCCACAACACCCTCCAGCAGTGCCTGCCGAGCAAACTTCTCCACCTGGATGTAGTAAAACTCGCGGAAGTTGCTGAACCACTTGATGAGCTGGGAGGTGATGCAGCGGCTGAACTGCCGGGGAGGAAAAGCCAGAGGGCAGGCATTATGCCAGCTTGGAGCCTCCTGACCCAGGAGCCCCCGCCAGCCCAGCCATGTGCCACTGGCCCGGCCCCAAACCCAACCCTGCTCCAGGGGTGCAAAGCACCGGCCAGGACCATGACCTGGGGGCGTCTGCAGTGCCTCTCCCCACAGAGATCTGGATCCCAGTGAGGCGGGGGACACGAGAGCATCCCCCTCCCCATGGTTCCCCAGCGAGGCGGGCTGGGTACCACGCCACGTGAGAGCCCTGCCCGGCACCAGCGCCGTGTGCTGCAGTTTTACCTGCACGTCGAGGAAGTAGGTCTTCAGCAGAGTGGAGCTGGGGTAGCGGGTGAAGAAAAACATCAGCTTGGCCTTCTTCAGGTGGCCAGGGGTCAGTGCCTCCTGCACCTGCCTCGGGGTCAAGGAAAGCCAGCACAGAGCAGCCCAACCCACTCAGTGCATCCCCGAGCACTGCCCCTGGCATTCACATGTCTGGTGTCCGTGATAACCCCTCCCCACGGCCTGGCAGCAGGGCGGAGGGGGTTCATCCCTGGCTGGGCAGCCACTGGCTTTTCCCTTCGGCAACCCCAGGAAGCTGCCATTCCCTACGGTGCTTCCCATGTCAGTGGGAACAGAGATTTCCGTAAGATACCAGTTCCCGGCATAGGGTGACAGGACTGCCAGAATGGCCTAAAAGCAGGATTGGGAGTTCCTGATTCCTAGCCCCCAGCTACGCTACAGCATCTAACCGACCCTGAAGAGTAGCAGTGCCCCTCCACAGCTCAGGACCCCTTTCCTTCCCACCCCTTTTTTAGCCCTCTGCGGAGTAGTGAGGACGCTGGCCCTGGGCAGACTGGCAGGGGCTGTGCTGAGCTGTGGCTCCAGAGGACATGGGGAACACATCCAAGCTCAGAGATCTCTCTAGCTCCAGCAGAGCCCAAGGACCTCTCCAGCTGACCCCAAAGGATACATGGGTGGAAGCGAAGGGCACCCCATCCATCGCAGTCTGCAGCTCCCTGTGGCCATCCCTGCCAGCCGGCAGCAGCGTCAGGCTCTCCATGTCGGCAGGGCTCAGGGGCAAGGGAGGCTGCTGCTGCTGTTGTCTCAGGACCGACGACCTCAGTTTGATGGTTCCCCAATGCAAGTCGAGGGGCTCTGGAGGAGTCCTCTCCGGAACAGAGGGGCTCCCACAAGAGCCACTGCCCCAGAGGCCGTGCTGGTCATAGCCCAGCAGCTGGCTCAGCAGTTGGCTGTCCTGGACAGCGGCGGCCGAACGCAACGAATAACCCACGCTGAGTAGCTGTGAGGGTTTTCTGACCCCCTTTGAACCAAAGGAGCCAGCATGAGAACCTTGGCTCTTCCCCAAACCTCCTGACAAGGCCTCAGCCTGGGGTGAGCCCATCGAGCCCAGTACACTCATGGGAGATGGCTTAGCAAGTGGCTTTCTGCATTTTCCAGCAGCAAAATGGTCTCTCCTGGCATCAGGCTCTGGCACCGGGAGGCTGCGGTGCTGCTGCAGGAGGTGGCCGGCCGCCTTTGGCCAAGCAGTCTTCAGGACAGAGTCCACCACCCCGGACATCACCCCCACGAGCTCATGCTTCAGCGCCTGCGAGAGGACCCTTGCTGCCGAGGGCAGGCCACCTGTGTCAGCTCTGTCCTCATCTTCCTCTGGCCCACGCACCTCCAGGACGCTCCTACGCAGAGGTGCTTCACTTGAGTTGCTGATGGCAGTGACACTGTCCTTGTCAGGAGTGTCTCCAGGCTTCCCAGGCAGTGCATGGACTTTCCTGGCATCTTCCTGGGTTTGGGCAGCATCCCCAGAGTCACAGACCTCAGAGAACCTCTCCTGAAGCCACCTCAGCTGCTGTTCTAAAAAGTAGAGCTGCTCCTTCAGCTGCTGGTAGCCCTCAGCATGGGAACTGCCCCCCATGGGAGCCACTTGCCTGGACCCCCCCGTGGCCTGCTGGGGCACCCTTGGCTTCCTCTTGCTCTCCCGGGGCATCTCACTGACCCTCTCCCTCTCGTTCCCAAAAGCTGCCTCATGGCTGGTGCCAAATGCCTGAGGGGTCGGTGGGAGGCTCATGCCTTGGATGATGCTCTCCACCCTGGCCCGCTTGGCTCGTAGGTGCTGGTCGGGGAGCGGGTCCCGTAGGTGCTGGTCAGGGAGCTGGTCCCTGTGGCCAGCACAGGGGACAGGCATCGGGGCACACATCCTGGAGAAAGCCAGGACTTGCGCTCCTTCCCCAGGAGATGCACCCTGCTCGTAGTCCTGAGGCAGGGCCAGTGCCTGAGAGGAAGGGAAAAGGATGGTGGCATCCAGGCTCCTGCCAGCCTTTGAGTGGCTGAGGAGCTGTGATAGCAGGGATGCACTGGGGGAAGGCAAGAGAGAGTCACTCTGGAAACGGGGCTCTGACTTCAGCCCCTGGCCATACCCTGAAGTGGCACAGTCTCCATCCTGCTCAGTGCCTGTCCTGCCATCCATCCTCTCTTCCTGCCTGGACGCTGGGGAGCTGACCCTCAGCTGATTGGAGATCCTTTCCAGGGACACACTGGCAGGCTTCCCAGATGTCCGACGTTGGAGCCTGCTAGTGGTGTGGAGCTGGGGAAAGAGCAAGAAGCATTGTTATCCTGAAATATGGGATCTTTACCCAGTGTGCAAAGCCAACACACACACAGGGTCGAGGTATTTCCTTTAAATACCGTTCTGTGCAGAAAGGGGAGCAAGGGGATATTCCCTATGCAATTTCTAAGGTTTCCTCTGAGACCGTTATTGGTAGCCATTTATCTAACACGACTCATTGGCCTGAAGTTTACTTCGCCTTGAATAAAGGGTACGGCATCCTTTTATTCTACAGCATGCACGTGAGGAATGTCAGGGAGCGAGTCAGTTCCATCTTCAACTGAGTCGGTGGTCGTGCTCACCCCCTGCCATCTTCACCTTTACCCCAGTTACTTGTTGAATTCTGCTGCTTGGCAATCCAGCAGTCCTGCGACCTTGCAGGGGCAAATAGTTCCTTCGTTATCTTCCTAAGCTCCTCTCCGAAGTTCCTCCTCAGAGATAGTGGTTAGGCTAAGCACACAAACTTAACACGACGCAGTGAGCAAACATGCAAGGCTATATGGCACCACCAGGCTTCACACAATACAGCTAAAATTCATATCCAGCTTTCAGGTATCAGTTTTAGACATCAGCATCAGTAGGCAGGAGCTCTCCATGCACATGGCCAGCTATCTTTCCTTCCAGGGCATCCCTACCCGCCTGCAAAATCAATTTCGCCAGGCAGAAACCTCCAGGCACTGCAAAGCTTGGGAGCAGGCTGCCGGGTGTTGCGTGACAGCTCCCACCCACCAGCCGGGCATTCATCCTTTGGGCCCTGGATGTGCCCGGCAGCGTGGACTTCCCACACCGCAAGCTGGAAGGCTGTGGGGAAGCTCCCCTCAGAGCTCTTGGGCTTGATACAAGGGTGGTGGGCAGCAGTCAGTGCCCTCTGCCACGCACCCCTGGGCAAAGGTGGGTTTGGGTGCCGCCGGGTGCTTGCAGAGCGTGGGGATGGCAGCTACACCCCTGGAGAAGGCATTCACAGCACGTAGCAGCTAGAGCAGGGCGCAGCTGCTGCCTGCTTCCCCGGCACCCAGCGCCCTCCACCAAAGCCGCAAGGACACGGTGATGGGCGGCAGTGCTGAGGGGCCGGGGCAGCACAAACAGGCTGGTGGAAAGGGGCACAGCGAGAGCGACAGTGGGACGTGACCCGCTGTAAGCAGGACATGCTGGGATGTTCAGGCTAACGCAGCACGGGGCTCCTAAGCGCTTGGCAAAACACTGAATAAAAGGGACGGGGATGGGGATTACTGAGGAAGAGAAAAACTGCTGAGCCAGCAGCCCTGGGATTAAAACTGCCATGCTGACTCCAGGCAGGGATCCACCTTCTCCACTCACTCAGCTTTGCAAAAGAAGGTGCAAAAGCCTGTATCCTGGGCAATTACAGAGTAACTGTCCCTGCGGGATGATGCTTCCTCCTCCACATCAATCAGAAGTAGCTTTGCATCCCTAAGTAGAACAATTTATGTCTTTTCCAGACACTTTCTAAGTGTCTGAGATTCTTTTGCTATAGGCAGAAATGTCTGATCATTCTCAACACTATCAGTTTCCCATCCCTGTGACTGCTCCACAGCGAGTCCCACGGGCTAATCAGCAGTGTAGAAAACGGGTTTCTTCTCACTGGTTTTCACAAGTTGCCTTTCTTTGAACAGCCCTGTATTCCAGGCAGGTATGTGGGTGAGCTCTACCTTTTGCAGAGCTCCAGCCTTGACAAACCAAGTACTTCCCAGGTTGTCCGACATCACTTGTTGCTCTCCTGTGTCATCTCCCCACCCCTCCAAATCATTAGGATTTCATTTTCCTAACAGTCTGTCGTGAGGGACATTCAGACTGCCTGGTGTACCCACAACCAGCGTGAGGCCGGGGTGCCAGCAGCTCTCAGCATCACCCCCTTCCCCTTGTATAACGAGCTTCACCGTCGCCCGCAGACGTCTCTCAGCCTGCCAACCGCTTTCAGCAAAGCCTGCAGCACATGCAAGGCAGTCACAGATTTCATCCACCCTCAAGCCCTTCTGCATGGCACGGGCATGGGACAGGCAGTCCTGCTACCTCACGCCCTTTAAGAAACACCTTCTTTTGTCACTGGGGCGATACACCCCTCGTAAGGAGATTGACTCAAAGCTGGTAAGAAGCCTTCCGCTTACCTAAGGCTTCCAGCACCACCATTTTTTGGGCTACCTGAGCTGCCAGAGATTTGCAGGGTGGGAGCAGAGTCTGCAGTCCCAGACCATGGCAGCCCACCGTGGGTGGCCTCAGCTCCCCCCAGCAGCCTCCCCAGTGCCTCAGGACCTGGAGGTTCTGCCCCGAGCAAACTGGTCCCGCTGATGCAGCCCTTTCCCCTCTGAGTGAGCAGCTGTGTGCTGCGATTCCTACTCTTACTACCAGCTTTCACCAGCACTGCCTTCCAAAATGCTACAGGGCAGCCAAGGCTCCTCTTATCTGAAGAAAAAGACTGAGGAATGAAACAAAGATGCTTGGAAGAGAAAGCAAGCGTGTCCTTTCCAAAACGGGAGCCACCCCACATGGGCTCCTCGGTGGGAAAGCTGTGCACGGAGCAGCCTGCCACCTCTCCAGCCCTGCAAATATCCCTCCGGAGCCTTCCCCAGTCGCTGCATCCCCCTGACTTCATCGAGAGGTCCCTGACCCGAGCCACTCACGCCTCTCTGCCCCACTCACCTTGCACCGTCTCGAAGGGGTGCGGGGAGCGCAGCACCCTGAGGACAGGCGTCAGGGTCCGGGGGGGATGATGCTGAGGCAGAGCCAGCGAGTCCTCCGTCCTCCTGCTGCGCTCAGGTCCTTTAAAGAGGGAGTGGGGAGGCTGGAGGCAGCCAACCGGCTGGGAATGACTTCTGAATATGCAGATGGACGTCCAGGAGGTCAGGTCCAGCGCTGGGGTCAGGCCACTCTCACTGCTGCTCGGCCATCTCCCAGGCTTATAGCCCTGGGGTCGGGTGGGCAGGGGGCCTGACAGGACAAGCAATCCCCCCCACTAGAATTTGGCCTGGAAACCCCACCCAGGACCCAGGATGGGGAACCGTTGGTGAGATGATGAAAATACACTGGGCTAGAGGCAAGCAGCACTACAGGCAAGGAAGGAACTGGCCCGGACCCCTGGGTGCTGCCCAGCTCCCACAGAAAACACCCAGGCATTTCCAACATCCCCACCATGGGGACACGGAGGCATTTCGTCTGGTCTGCGGTGCAGGACACAGCCAGGAAATAGAAGAACACAGGAAAAGCAGCAACCCCCAGTCCCTTCCTTATTGCAGGGTGCTTTAGAGGTATTGCCGCAGCCAGCGGACTCCCAGCCAGTTGCGAGATGCTTCTTGCAGAAGGCATGGGGCAGGTGGACAAACCCTACCCACACATGCCACTCCTAGGGCTTCGTCTAGGGTGCCTCCACGCGCTTACTGACCGTGGCAATGTTTGGTGTATTCGTCTGGTAGGTGGGAGGCTGTGGTTAACAGCAGTTGACACCAGGTGGTCTTGTCCAAGGATATTAGCCCTCAAAAGACAGATATCGTGGAGAAATCCCTGGCAGAGAGCCTTTCTGGCTCATCTGCCTTTTATTAAAGCCATCAGCACACCCTCAAAGACTCAGAGACTATCCCCTGTCGATATTTATTCAACCTCTTTTCTTTGAAAATGATCCCAAGGATGTTCATTGTGAATTTGCATTAGGAAACTATTTTGAAGGTTGCAGGTTACCATTCATACACAATACAGCAATGGCTGAATTAAGGACGTATGCGTAACTTGGACTTGGCTCCTTCTGAGATGCCTGGCTGCCAGACAGCCTTTTTTGACTATCCCAAGCAACTTCTCTAATTCTTCAAATGGGTTCCTTGGGTTTTCTTCCACCAGTGCTTCCTCACCTGGAAGCAGGCAGAGAACAGAAGCTTGCAAGGGGATTCTCACGCTTTTTCAACATACAGACCACAACTGAGGCATGGAGCTTACTTCTAGACTCATTTGCCTGTTTGCCGTGGTGAGGTGACCTCTTTGCCCATTTCTAACCGTGTGACATCCCACTGGCCGACACTTGTGGCAGTATCATCCTACGTGACCCCGACTCCATGATTTGTTGAGGTGAGCTGGAAGACCACTAGTACACTGTCCTGCAAAAATCCATATTTGGGTCAATGAGGTGGTAATACATAGGTTGGTTTATGTATCAGGAATTGTGGGTAACATAACTCGTAGGTAACGTAACTCCCGGTGTGAAAGACCCTGTGTCCACTTGTGCTCGGGACAGTGGGTGCACAGGAAGGGCCAGACGAAGGAGACAAGGCATAACCAAAGGGTCTGGCTGCCACCTGGCCCTGCATGGGGCTGTGGAAGACATCTTGGGTATGGTTCAACAGGAGGGTATTCACGTATCATGGCCTGCTCCAGCCCTGCCCCACAGCCCCATCCCCAGCTTGTCCCTGACCCACAGCCTCTGCCTTAGGCCTGTCCTCACCACACAGCCCCGTCATCACCCTGTCCCTGACCCACAGGCCTGTCACTGACCCATAACCTCTGTCTCAGGCCCGTCCTCACCCCACAGCCCCGTCCCCAGACTGTCCCTGC